TCTCAAAATGACCAAACCACCTCATCAGTTCCTCATCAGCCTTCTGACTAATACTTTTAATTATTCCACACCACCTTCTCCTAATTTCCACACTACGAATTCTCTGCATAATATTTACACCACACATTGCCCTTAGACACGACATCTCCACTACCTCCAACCGTCTCCTCGCTGCAGCATTTACAACCCGTGTTTCACACCCACGTAAGTGTTGGTACTATACTCTCGTACAATCCCTTCTTTACCTCCATGGATAACGTTGTCTCCACACATACCTCAACGCACCACTCACCTTTTTTCCTTCATCAATTTTATGGTTTACCTCGTCCTTTATAAACTCATCTGCTGACAAGTCATCTCTCAAATATCTGAAACATTCACTTCTTCCATTCTCCCTCCCTCCAATGTGATATCCATTTTTTCTTTATCTAAATTGTTTGATACCCTCATCACCATATTTTTATTATATTCACTTTCAACTTTCTACCTTTACACACCCTCCCAAACTCGTCCACTAACCTTTGCAACTTTTCTTTAGAATCCCCGAAAGCATAGTGCCAACAGCAAAAAGTAACTGTCAACTCACATTTTGTATTTGATTCCACATAATTTAATCCCACCCCTCTCTCCATTTATAAATATATTAAACAACCATGGTGACATTACACATTCCTTCCTAAGACCTACTTCTACTGGGAAGTAATCTCTCTCTCTCTCTCCTACACTCCCTAACCTGAGCCTCACTATCCTCATAAAAACTCTTTACATCATTTAGTAACTTACTACCCATTCCAATACACTTGCAACATCTGCTACATTGCCTCCTTTATCCACTCTATTATATATCTTTTCTAAATCCTTAAATACACTGAAAGCTTCCCTACCTTTATCTAAATACTGTTCACATATAAGCTTCAATGTAAACACCTGTTCTACACATCCCCTATCAATTCTAAAGCTTCCTTGCTCATCTGCAATCCTGCTCTCTGTCTTACCTCTAGTTCTTTCAATTATAACCCTACCAATAACTTTACTTATTATACCCAGTAAACTTATTCCCTTATAATTTTTAAAATCTCTTTTGTCCCTCTTCCCTTCATATAAAGGAATTGTACACGCTCTCTGCCAATCTCTAGGTACCTTCCCCTCCTTCATTCATTTATTTATTTATTATTATCACACTGGCCGATTCCCACCAAGGCAGGGTGGCCCGAAAAAGAAAAACTTTCACCATCATTCACTCCATCACTGTCTTGCCAGAAAGGTGCTTTACACTACAGTTTTTAAACTGTAACATTAACACCCCTCCTTCAGAGTGCAGACACTAAACTTCCCATCTCCAGGACTCAAGTCCGGCCTGCCGGTCTCCCTGAACACTCCAACAGCACGTCAAGTATTAAAAACCATTTGTCTCCATTCACTCCTATCAAACACGCTCACGCATGCCTGCTGGAAGTCCAAGCCCCTCGCACACAAAACCTCCTTTACCCCCCCTCCAACCTTTCCTAGGCCGACCCCTACCCCGCCTTCCTTCCACTACAGACTGATACACTCTTGAAGTCATTCTGTGTCGCTCCATTCTCTCTACATGTCCGAACCACCTCAACAACCCTTCCTCAGCCCTCTGGACAACAGTTTTGGTAATCCCGCACCTCCTCCTAACTTCCAAACAACGAATTCTCTGCATTATATTCACACCACACATTGCCCTCAGACATGACATCTCCACTGCCTCCAGCCTTCTCCTCGCTGCAACATTCATCACCCATGCTTCACACCCATATAAGAGCGTTGGTAAAACTATACTCTCATACATTCCCCTCTTTGCCTCCAAGGACAAAGTTCTTTGTCTCCACAGACTCCTAAGTGCACCACTCACTCTTTTTCCCTCATCAATTCTATGATTCACCTCATCTTTCATAGACCCATCCGCTGACACGTCCACTCCCAAATATCTGAATACATTCACCTCCTCCATACTCTCTCCCTCCAATCTGATATCCAATCTTTCATCACCTAATCTTTTTATCCTCATAACCTTGCTCTTTCCTGTATTCACTCTTAATTTTCTTCTTTTGCACACCCTACCAAATTCATCCACCAATCTCTGCAACTTCTCTTCAGAATCTCCCAAGAGCACAGTGTCATCAGCAAAGAGCAACTGTGACAACTCCCACTTTATGTGTGATTCTTTATCTTTTAACTCACGCCTCTTGCCAAGACCCTCGCATTTACTTCTCTTACAACCCCATCTATAAATATATTAAACAACCACGGCGACATCACACATCCTTGTCTAAGGCCTACTTTTACTGGGAAATACTTTCCCTCTTTCCTACATACTCTAACTTGAGCCTCACTATCCTCGTAAAAACTCTTCACTGCTTTCAGTAACCTACCTCCTACACCATACACCTGCAACATCTGCCACATTGCCCCCCTATCCACCCTGTCATACGCCTTTTCCAAATCCATAAATGCCACAAAGACCTCTATAGCCTTATCTAAATACTGTTCTCTTATATGTTTCACTGTAAACACCTGGTCCACATACCCCCTACCTTTCCTAAAGCCTCCTTTTTCATCTGCTATCCTATTCTCCGTCTTACTCTTAATTCTTTCAATAATAACTCTACCATACACTTTTCCAGGTATACTCAACAGACTTATCCCCATATAATTTTTGCACTCTCTTTTGTCCCCTTTGCCTTTATACAAAGGAACTTACCCTCTTCCATACATTTATTAAATAATTGCACCAACCACTCCAAAACTATATCCCCACCTGCTTTTAGCATTTCTATCTTTATCCCATCAATCCCGGCTGCCTTACCCCCTTTCATTTTACCTACTGCCTCACGAACTTCCCCCACACTCACAACTGGCTCTTCCTCACTCCTACAAGATGTTATTCCTCCTTGCCCTATACACGATATCACAACTTCCCTATCTTCACAACATTTAACAATCCCTCAAAATATTCCCTCCATCTTCCCAATACCTCTAACTCTCCATTTAATAACTCTCCTCTCCTATTTTTAAACTGACAAATCCATTTGTTCTCTAGGCTTCCTTAACTTGTTAATCTCACTCCAAAACTTTTTCTTATTTTCAACAAAATTTGTTGATAACATCTCACCTACTCTCTCATTTATTAAACAAAAATACAAAACCAGTCCAACATTATATATCCCCCTGCTTTTAACATTTCTGTCATGATCCCGTCAGTTCCAGCTGCTTTACCCACTTTCATTCTACATAATGCCTCACGCACCTCCCCCACACTCATCCTCCTCTTCTTCACCCATAAAAGTGAATGAAGTTACTGCCTTCCTTACTTCATCGACATATAAATGTTCCTCAAAATATTCCCGCCATATACTCAATACCTCCAGCTTCCCATCTACTAACTCCCCTACTTTGTTTTTAACTGACAAATTCATTTGTTCTCTAGGCTTTCTTAACTTGTTTATCTCACTCTAAATTTTTTTCTTATTTTCAGCAAAATTTCTTGACAGTGCCTGTCCCACTATCATTTGCTCTTCGTATGCACTCTCTTCACCTTTCTTTTACTTTCCATATACTCTGCCTTTCTTATACACTTTTGCTTTGTAAAAACCTCTCGTAAGCTACTTTTTTCTCTTTTATCACACCCTTTACTTCATCATTCCACCATTCACTCCTCTTTCCTCCTGCAACCACCCTCCAATAACCACAAACTTTTGCACCACATTCTAATACTGCATTTTTAAAACTATCCCATCCCTCTTCAACCCTCCCCCACTACCCATACTTGCACTAGCCTACCTTATATCTCACCCTAACTTTCTCCTTCCTTAGTTTATAAACTTTCCCCACTCTCTTACTTACTGTTGTCATTTACCTTTTGTCCCATCTACCTCTTATACTAACTGTAGCTACAACAAGGTAATGGTCCCATATATCCATTGCTCCTTTATAAACATGTACACTCCGAAGCCTACCCTTGAACCTTTTATCCACCGATACATAATCTAACAAACTACTTTCATTACTTGCTATATCGTATCTTGTATACCTGTTTATCAATCACGAGTGCAACGGACAAGTGAACTAGCAGCAGCAACACTCACAGCAAGAGGCATTCTTGAGCTTCCCCAGCGCTCGGACTTAATATCCAATGCTGGTGGTGACTCCAAAAGGATCATGTAATGCTTGCTGCCTTTGCACCTCCTGACATCGTCTGCTGCTATGCAGCTGCCACACCCTTCGAGTCCAGTGTGGCCGGGGTTTGTGGCAGCCCAAGGTGCTTAGTTTCTCCCTCTGAGCCCCGTGAGGCGGGGAATGGGGCTAGGCCTGGGGATAGCTAGTCCCCAGGCCCAGACTGGGCGAATATACCGGCGAATCCACAACAACAACAATTATTTATCCTCTTTTTCATAAAATATGTATTACTTATTACCAAACCCCTTTCTACACATAGTTTATTTAAAGGCTCCCCATTTTCATTTACCCATGGCACCCCAAATTTACCTACTACTTCCTCTACAACATTTTTACCCACTTTAACATTGAGATCCTCAACCACAAGTATTCTCTCACTTGGTTCAAAACTTCCCATGCACTCAACGTTTTCTAAAATCTCTGTCTTCTTTACACTTCTCTCTTCTCTGTAACCCACTTTTCACATCCAACCCTAATTTTACTCTGCTTAAACTTGAATTTATACATTTATATTCCTTCTTTTCCTGCCATAACCTATCCTTCAACATTATTGCTACCCGTTCCTTATCTCTAACTCTCTCAGATACTCCTGACTTAATCCCATATATTTCTCCCCACAAACTCCCCTACCCCCTTCAGCTTTGTTTCGCTTAGAACTAGGACATCCAACTTAGCTTACTTACTGCAATAATATCATGATTCAGAAGTAAAAGATATCCTGCACAGTACTGCTAAAATAAAGAAGCATAAGTAACCTGTGTATGTAACCGTTGTATATAACTAGATTCTGTACACAGGTGATCCTGAGTAGTCAAAAACACCTGGACAAGAGTCGTGATTACGACTTTCTCCACCCCTGGCTCGGCACTGGTCTCCTCACCTCCACAGGTCAGTTATTGTCCTCACCAAGTATTTGTTAATATTCTTGCCCAGTATATACTCATTCTTTTACACGTATATTTAACCATGCATTTACTCTTGAACTTACTCATACATTTATCCATGTATTTTGACGTGTACTTGCCCACGTATTTGCTCATCAGCTTGCTTATATACTTACGTATTGCTCTTCTTATTTACCCCTGTGTATGCTTTGCAAAAGCCGCATCTTTAAGTGTGTATAAAACTTAATTTGAGTTGTGATTTGCATTTACTTCTGGATAGAGCAGACATCCTTCATTTAAAAAATACGTTTAAGAAGCACTGGAGAGGAAAATATAAATGTATTATGAATGTAAGCAGTAGTGTGCCCGTCAGCTATACATGCCATCTGGTTTAAGTATTTTGTTAATTCATCACATGGACAGGGCGGGATTCTGACCTACGGCGAAACAGTACTAAACCTAGCAAGCAGGTGCCCTATAAATAGTTTATATAACTCGAGAGATGTGCTCCTATTACCCCTCTTTGGTCTTTGGCCTTTTTTATTTTGTCTATTCATTTTCTCTTACACTACCATTCACAGGACGGCTGTGGCGGTGCACGGTAAATTAGCCGATTCGGCGGCAAAATTTAAAAAAAAACTGTGGCATAAGATTCAAAAAAAAAAAAAAAAAAAAAACTGTGGCATATTTTAAGAACATAAGAAAGAAGGAACACTGCAACAGGCCTACTGACCCATGCAGAGCAGGTCCATGTCCCCCCCCGGATTAGACCAATGACCCACCCCCGTATCAATGATCCACCCTCTGGTCATCCCCACTCAAGGATGGAGCACGGCAACAGACCCAGCAGCACAAGCTAGTCAGGTCCAACTCACACCCACCCACACCCACTCATGTATTTATCTAACCTATTTTTAAAACTACACAACGTTTCAGCCTCAATAACTGTACTCTGGAGTTTGTTCCACTCATCCACAACTCTATTACCAAACCAGTGCTTTCCTATATCATTCCTGAATCTGAATTTTTCCAACTTGAAACTATTGCTGCGAGTCCTGTCTTGGCTGGAAATTTTCAGCACACTATTTACATCCCCTTTATTTATTCGTTTTCCATTTATACACCTCGATCATATCCCCCCTAGTTCTACGCCTTTCGAGAGTGTGCAGATTCAGGGCCCTCAGTCTATCCTCATAGGGAAGATTTCTGATACATGGGATCATCTTTGTCATCCTCCTTTGTACGTTTTCCAGAGCATTTATATCCATTCTGTAATACGGTGACCAGAACTGAGCAGCATAGTCTAAATGAGGCCTAACCAAGGAGATATAGAGTTGAAGAACAACCTGAGGACTTCTATTATTTATACTTCTAGATATGAAGCCAGGAATTATGTTAGCTTTATTGCAAACACTAATGAACTGTTGTCTTGGTTTTAGGTTACTGCTAACCAGAACTCCTAAATCCTTTTCGCAATCGGTAGTATTAAGATCTACATTATTTAGTTTATATGTGGCATGGTTAGTTTCCTGTCCAACATTTACAACTTTGCATTTCTCAATATTAAACTGCATCTGCCACTTCTCCGACCATTGCGTCATTTTGTTAATATTCCTGGTGATGTTTACCTTAGGAAGCAAGTGGCACTCTCGCCGGAAGCTGTTGACCCCGGCCTTCCACTTCAAGATTCTGGAGGATTTTGTGGAGGTTTTCAACAACCAGAGCAACAAGATGGTGCAGAAGTTGCAGCAGAAGGCAGATGGCAAGCCTTTTGATATCTTCCCATTTGTTACGCTCTGTACCCTTGATATTATCTGTGGTAAGCTCTTAAAGTATATTTAATCCTATAAGAAATTAATGGTAGTAATTGCAATTAGCATCGAAATCAATTGGGGTCTATTGTGAAAAGGATTTCGAACAAATTTTGTATTTAAGAATGTTTTTTGCAGATTCAGATCTATACAGAATTATTATTATTGGAAGCGCGCAACCAGAAGGGGTCAGACAGCGTTGGAGAAGGACTCAGGTTCAGTTCAGCGATGAGGACAATTCCAACTCCTTGGATCAAAACCTTTTATCTTCCAACAAAAGCCCCTTATATCGTATCAAAGCCCCTTACTCTGCATTAAAAGCTCTATCTTGTGTCAAGAGCCTTCTCCCTTATCCCAAGTTCCTTAACTTGTATCAAGAACCCCTTAACTTGCACCAAAAGCCACTTATTTTGCATCGAGAGCCACTCATCTTGCATCTTTGGTCCCTCAGCCTGTATTAAGACTGCTCACCTTTCATTAAATTAAGAGCCCCACATTTTGGATCAAGACCCTTGTCTTTCATCAAGAGCCCCTCATCTTTCATCAGTAGTCTTTCGCCTTACATCAAGAGCCTCTCACCATGAAACAAGGGCCCCCTTCACCGTGCACCAAGAGCCAATCACCTTGTATCAAGAGTTCCTCACCTTGAATCAAGAGCCTCTCAACTTTCATCAAAAGACCATCATTTATCAAGAGTCCATGATCTCGCATCAAGAGCCCTATGAAGGTTCACGCAGCCCTATCAGACCCTCAAAGAGTATTGATAAGGCTGGTTCCTCCTCATGGAAATAAAAATATGGAAAAATCAATAATAACGTAAGATAAACAATTTTATTAATTACTATACCAGTAAAGAATATAAATCACTTAAACATGAAATTGATCCTACTTGAAGCAAAAATGAAATACATAAATAATTAGTGATTCAAAGCTAATATGTACACAGTGACGTAGTGGAGAATGGTGCCGTGCCGATGTTCAGGGCACGTAGCTCTGAATCCTGGTTTGGAACGCTGAGCCATTGTTGATGATGGGGGGGGGGTGGGCGAGGTAGTTCACACAAGTGGACGTGGCTGATGAAACAGAAGACAGTGTTCCCAACATGAGTAAAGATTCTGACGAACAGAGGTTGACTGTGATCCTCTACCACCACGACACTTGTGAAGCAGTTGAGTCGCCATTAAAGAACTGCCGTGAAACACTGGTGGAGTTAAAAGTGAGGGACGGCTGCTAGAATGGTGTGTAACTGATTAGGTGGTCGGCTATGTATGGAAGGGGGACCAGTGTTGGTAGGTTTACTCTCAGATCTTGTCAAGATCTATACTGCCCTTCTGGTATCTAGCCCGTGTCGAATGACTAGAGCCGACAATCAAGGCTAAAATAAATACCAAATTACATACCAGTCTAGAAATCACTCACACGATAGGCGCACAGCCTTTAAAAGAAATGGTGGGGAGTAAAAGATGACAACACTACATAAGTTCAAATCACGACAGGAATAATAGGTAAAATAAAACCCTAAATAAGAGTGAAGCTCTTACTAAAACTAACTTAACCAGAAACATATAATAATTTATGCAGAAGTGGAACGAATACTTAGATTTGACGGGAGCCGTAAGTCAAGTGACTGACCACAAGTTGGAGACACACTCGTCATCTCCCAACCGGGTTAGCGGGAACTATGCACTCACCCTAACTGAACAAGCAAACTGCCCAACAAAATACCACCACCATTCATTCATACTTCCACCACTCCTATCTAATGAACTTTTTCCTGACAAGCACCTCCCCCCCCGTCATTTTGCATCAAGATCCCCTCATCCTGCATAAGAGCACCTTAATTTGCATCAAGAGCCCCTCAGACTGCATGAATGTACCTCCTAGATGGCTGTCAGAGGATTTAGAGACCACCAGAAGTGGTTATGAAAAAGAGAGCGAGAAGTAACTGCAGGTACACGAACTTTCACGTACGGCAGTGGGAAAGACGACTCGAACTGTTGGAGCCTTCCAAGGAAAAGAGAAAAATTAGATGCAAGATGGATGGCCGACCTATGTGCCAAAAGTGGTGCATTACATGACTAGAAGTGGCACACTGCACCCATTGATAACATAAAGGAAGGCTTATTCATTCAGAAAATATTAACCAAAAACCGATTTGTTGAAAAAAATTATAACAGAAATTCGAGTAACTTGCAGCCAGGAACGAGATTTACTGAGAATAAATGTTTTTAGTGATTTTATAATTTCTTGCACATCTATTATTGAATCATCTTTCACATAAGTAAGTTTTCAGGAAAAAATATTCAGTGAATATGACTAGGAAACAATTGCAGTGATCATCAATATTAAACATGCACACTTATGGAACGACTCTTGTACAGGAGTCGTTCCATAAGTGTACATGTTTAACACTTGTTGGATCTTGAGGCATCAGGTACTAGCAGTGGCTACAATGCACTGCATATTTTTACCAGTCAGTTTAAAACTGACACTCGTGCGGTAGAGTTGTGCTTCGCTCTTTGTTGAGAATTGCAGTTTGTACATTTTAAAATTTAAGGTTTGTTATTACAGTTGCCCATCACATAGCAAAAGAAAAGCTGAAAGTAATAATAAGCGTCAGTTTAATGAACAGTGAGAAAATCAGTTTTTATTTATTGCGGGTCCGTCAGGAAAACTGTTGTGCATTTTTATGTGAAGAAACTCAGATAACAGAAGACTTGTTCTTAAAAGACACCATATAAAAACAATGAAGTTAGTACTTGAGTCTGAATTATGGAAAGAGAATGTGATTAAGAAAATAGAACAAAATAACAAGAAAGCAACATATATCTCTTACAAGTTGCGAAAGTTTGGCGGTGACAGAAACATCCTGCAAAATTGCCTTTGTGTTGGCTAAAAAACGGAAGCCTTTCTCTGTTAGAGAAAAAATTGCTAAGCCTTGTCTCCAGATATTTGCAAGATGTCTTGGTGATGAAAATATTGAAGAAAAGTAGACGAATAGCTCTGCCAAAGCAAACAGCTACAAGACGCACCAAAAGAATTTTCCCATGATGTATCTGAGCAACTGAAAGACCTTGTCCAGGCTTGGACGAATCTGCTGAAATATTTGATGTAGCCCAGTTAAGCGTTTTTATAAGAGGAATTGATAATGAAGAACTTGTCGGTCTTGAGTCACTTCATGAAAAAAAAGAGGATCAGACGTATTTGACAAAGTAAAGTCCTGTTTAGAAAATGTACAACTAGATTCTAGTAAACTCACCATGTTTGTGTTGATGCAGCACCGTCAATGATAAGTAAAGCCAAAATACTAAAACACCACTCCATTATACACATAGAATCAGTGAGTGGATTACTATTATAATAAAAAGAAGTGCTAAACCTACAAGGGTCATACAGTGCAGCAGGGCAGGGGATAGTGCAGGATTATAGAGTAGCAAGGGTGGAGTGGACAACAGAGTTAGAAAGGACCGTGAGGAGCACTAGAGGAAGTATTATCAAAGTTTGTGTAGTAAATCAGTTGCTGTCAAAGGTCAACAAGATAGTCTGAGTCAAAGGTGGGTTCGTCAGCAAGGAGGGAAGATAAAGTAAGGTGTTAGAGCAGTGATAACGTCGGAGGTAAATTCTGCTTGCTCATTGATAGACCGAATAGTTCAGCAGAATATGGCTAACCGAAAATGGAACATGACAGTTCTCACAGACTAACAGGAAGCCTCTTCATGAGATACCCATGAGTAAAACAAGTGTGCTCGAGAGCGCAGTCTCCCAACCTCGGCATCGATGACAAGAAGATGGAAAGAAACCTAAGGTTGGTTTGATAGATTGTAATTTGTTATGTATCATATCAGAGGAATGTTGTTGACAATGGTTGCAAAGGTAGATAGAAATTAGAGCAAAATAGTCTGTGAATGGAACATCTCTATATGAAACTGGGAGGCCATGTGTTGCTGGCCGCCCAGCAGTGTCCGCCAATTCATTGCCCTGAACGTCAACATGACCGGGGACCCAACAGAAAACAATACCTTTGTTGTTTCTAGAGATGCGGCATAACCGAGGTTGTATACGAAGAGCCAGGGGATGAGGTGAATCAAAATTTTTTATAGCTTGCAAAGTACTAAGAGAGTCGGAGACTACCACATATGGTGACAGGCACAGATGCAATATGGATAAGTGCTACAAGAATCGCATACAATTCAGCTGTAAAAATGTTAGCCGAGTCTAATAAATGCCTTCACACTACGCTGTCCGGAAACACTGCTGCAGCCTGACACCGTCAGAAGATTTAGAACCGCCAGTGTATACTGCGATCACATAAGAATGAGAACAGAAGAGATTAAGAAAAAGAGCGAAAAGGAACTTTAGGTATTTGAGCTTCTGTTCACGGCAGTGGGGAAGAACAGACACGAACTGTCAGAACCTCCCATTGGGAAAGGGAAAAAGTTAGATGCTATATAAATATATAAAGGGGCAACTGAAGAGAATACAAGAGCGAATGTAGATGAAAACAAAAGGGACGAGTAAGTAGAGGAGACGAACGAACAATGAACTTCTACTAACATCCGTTACTCTCCTATACATCGCGAAGGTCATGATTGCGAACAAAACATCTGAGAAAATGAGCATCATGACGATCGTTCAAGAATGGAATATTCGTCTCTGCATATAGGCTCTCTACAGGTGAAGAGCGAAAAGCATCTAAGCATAAATGTAGTTAGTCCCTGGTGATGGATGGGATGAAGAGTAGAAAAAGTTGCAGAAGCTACTGAATGTATGTGGTCGCCACAATCTAGTTTCGATAATATTTGGGCTGAATGCAGTCGGAGGAGTTCCCTACGAAAGATGAGCGAGGGTTTTAAGGAGGGTCAACCGGCTATGGGAAGTTGTCTTCAAGGAGGTAATGTGAAGTTTCCAGGATAACCGACGATCAAACAGAAGGGCGAGGAAACTGACAGTATCACGTTCATGGATCCTTGAGCCATACAGGTACAATGGATTATCAGGGACGATAGAA